CGTCATAGAATGGAGGTTGCCAGTTGTTCAGCAGCATGCAGGAGAATGCATCAGTTAAGGGTCAGGAGTGAAACTGAGCAGTGAAAGTGGTGATATTTGGTTATTTCTTTCTTTACTGAAAACATAAACTTCTTCAAGGAAGCAGTAGCTAAGCTCAAGCTGCAGCTTTTCTCTTACTGGTTATTGATGGGATCCTCTGCTTGACTGTCTCATGAGATCTGCTGTAATGGACTGACCTTCAGAATGGCTGAAATTGTCCAGTGGTGTAAAAAGCCACTGGGAGAACATTTCACATGGACACACACAAACATGCTCAGAGAATCATTGTAGATTTAAATATTTGACTAATGCCATGGCATTTAAAATAAAGCCTAGCACTTGGTCAGTCTAACATTAGGCTGCTGTCTTTTCCTCCTAAAATTATATAGGTGAAAATATAGACAAAACCTCATCTTGCAAATCTTAGTTTCCTTTGATCATCTCTTCAAGAGAAAAATGCTTTAGAAGAAGTGCTAATTGTATTATTCTAAACGTATGCTGTGTGGAAAATGGAACATTCTGAAAGCAAGGTTTTCTGGGCTATATACATATAAGATCAACTGAGCAAGTTACTTTTAAAGTATTTTATTTTATTTTATCCTTGTGGATATGTAAGCTAAATGATCCAGCCTTTCCATTTGGGAATCTAGCTTTGCCTTTGTTTCAGATTCCTAGGAAATAATGCACAGCATGGCCTGGGGTCAGAGGAGATCTGATGATTGTGGCAGAATTACTGTACATTCAAGAAATAATCTTTGTGAGAAGACTGCATTGAGGTTGCAAAGGATTTATCGAGAAAGTTTTTTAGTATTTCTGTAGCAAAGCAGAGCTTGCCTGTAGAGGGCACCAAAGACAGTCAAGTCCAGCTGTGAAATCTCTGGGACTACTTGCGCTGAGAGAAAACTGAGGAACTGAGGGTGAGAACAGGTTAGCGTGTGGGCGTTCATGAGCAAGGAAGAGAAGAAAAAGGAACAAGTATTTAAAAGAAGTCTAGTCTAACACATTACTCGAAAGGCTGGAATATAAACAGGCTAAATGGAAAACTGAAATAATTCCAGATGACTTTCCTTTCCTTTCCAGATGACTTTTTCCTTTCCAGATGGTTAGGAAGAACAGGGTATTTCATCTGCCTAACAAAACCAGGTTGTACTGTGTTTATCTTTATGCTGGCTAAATATTACAATTTGTTAGGGACATCTTTGCAAATATAGGATCAGTGTGTTCTGGAAGCTTGTTTGGTAAATCAGAAAGTATGTAGGACATACCAGCTGGTTAATATTTAGTTGTGATGAAAGCAGTGGGATTATATTTGAGTGAAGTATTTGCATATTCTACTGTGACATAAGGTCCCCTTTAAACTCCAGGTCAACATTGTCTTTGTAACTGCAGGGGAAGGCATTGTCAAGGGGCACCTTCTTTTCATATTGTAAGCGATGTGGTGATCTGATTTTCTTTTCTGGAGCTTGACACACAAAAACTGATTTATTGTTTACATGAGTGTAGAACATGCTGATAAGCAAATCAAAAGTTAGGGAGCAGCTGTATCCCAGGTGCTAGATAGTGTGCTCTCTAGGCCTGTGGTACAGAGAGTGTACCAGAAGATCCATATCAATATAATGGCATCTTTCTGTGCTTGATCACAAAAGTAGTATGGAAATTGTTTCATAAAATGGTGACACTTTAAATTAGTTCATATTTCACAGCATCTGCTTATTAATATATTTTAAAGTATATGAAAAATCAAGCACGAAAATGTTAGGTTCATGCCTGGTCAGGGATTTAAACATATATTTCAGTAACCCATCCCAGGAAATTAATCCAGCCTTGGCCCCCTCTGCCTGCAGTGTTTGTGTGAAGAGCTCCAGGCACCTCTGATGATGCTGCATCAAAGGTTTTCCGCATGGGCTGTCTGCAAACTCAAAGAAGAAACTCTACCAGCTTATGTGTGCCATGAAAGTTCTGACATCCCCTTGCCCTTCTTGTGCTCTCTTACTTATTAGAAGATGACTGTGAGATTTCAAACAGTTGGAGAGCTGAAATTGAATCTGAAGTTTACGAATGGTGCTAGGTTAGGATTTCCAAAGGAAATGTTAGGAGGCAGCCAGCTTCCACTAAATACCAAGAGATTTTATCTTGTGCATGATTCTGCTCCTTTATCAGCACAACCCAAAATTTTGGTTTAAGAGAGATGATGGATTCAGTAGTTAGAGCACCAAGGTTTGGGATATTTGGTTCAAAACCCTGGCCCTTGATGTCTTTTTTCTAAGAGCTTGTACAGGACAAGCAATTTCTTTGTGTTTATTGCCACTTAAAGAGATCATAGTACATGTTTATTTCACAAGAAGTATTGGGAGGATTAGAGATTGAACTGCTCATACAGGGTAATGAGGGGTCTGACGTGTGTCTGAGAACTCAGAGTCTCTGGGCTCAGTGGAACTCACATCTGCTGCTCACATTTTGCATTGCTCTTTAATTGTCATAAGTAAAGGTAATACATATAAACAACATTTCCTTTATCCTAGGGATTATGAAGCAGTATTATACTGAATATTATACTGCTTAGGACAGTCTTAACTCTAAACCTGGGAATGGGTCATCAGTGAATAATACAGGGTGCTGTTAGATACTTTCTGACAGAATTTGGTTTTTAACTGGGTGCTTAGCAGTGTTTTATTTGTGTATTTCCTTTGTAAAAGCTGGTGCAGAGGATTTGATCCTTACTTATTACATTTTCCACAGAGGTTATAGAACCTCCGTCCTCAAAGATACTCAAACTCAGCTTAGAGGAATGTGTCCCAAGTTGGCCTTCTGAGGAAGCAATTGGACCAGAGACCTTCAGAGATCCTCTCCAACGTGAATTATTCTGTGGTTCTATACCTTAATGTGGTAACATTGTGATATCACCATTAGTGTATTTACTACTTCAGATGGCATCCACATACACATCCTGCAGTCAGAGGTTTTCTCTAGAGTAATGACATTGTCAAGTTCAGAGAACACTCTGTGCTACCCTAAGGAAACTGAAGGCTGCCACTGTCTGAATTTAAACTTATTGAAATGAACCTTCCAAGAAAACTTTACTTTTTTTGAATTTGTTTACTTTAGGTGGAAGATGTTTTGTTCTACTTCAGTTAACATTAAAAATGTGGATCCTAGTGTCAACAGAAGACCTAACATGGACTAGGCATTATTTTTGCTGAACAGTCCATGGGCTTTTATGTAATTGGGAACTTTTTGGAGTTCTACTGTAATTCCTTCTAATGAAATGGCTGGATGGTTTTATTAAGATTTAAAACTCATCTTCTTGCCATGTTACTGTTTAAGTTATGAGTTACTGTTTAAAAAGAACAGATTTTCTCATAAATAAAATTCTCTTAAGTTTTACATAAAGTTGCAACATACACAAGAATTGCCAAATTCTCAGAGGTACTCAATTTCCCCTCGTGGCAACAGAAGACATTGATGTGCAGTTGTTTAGCATCTCTGAAATAGAGGATAGGCCACTATGTAGTCTTGCATTTCTTGCATTCCACATAAGACTTTCAGATGTGCAAGGAATGCAGCATCAGGTTTGTCACTTATGGTGCTGTGTGTGCCATCTGCTTGTGAACTAGTGACATGGTATTTTAGTGATTAGCAGTGTGAAGAGCTAATGTATACATTACATCTGTCTGCTGCTGCAGATCTGGATTGCTCTGGGTTTTTTCTTCACCCGATAGGAAAATGAATAAGGTAAAAGGAATCAACAGTCTCATCATTATGCAAAATACTTCAGTGCTGCAATTAACAGCAGCTATAATTTAAGCCTAGATTTAACATCAAAGGTAGTGAGGACAGAATTAGGATTTATATTCATTATAATTCAGCCAAGGCTTCAGTGAGTCTGATTGCTAGAATTCCTCTTTTGCATTAGCTGTCTTAAATCTGCTGAACAGCTATCTCTTCCATGCCTGGGTCTGAGTGAGCTGTACTTGCCTCGCATAATCATCTTGCAATTCATGGAAATGCCAACACTGAATGTTACATAAAAGTTCCAGAAGGCTTTGTTTCTGCTCTTCTTCAAAACAGCTGCCAAATTATGTTACAATTATCATCCAGTTTCAGCAGGGAGCATTAAAATGACAGTCTACTTGTGAGCTGGAACCATATCATGGTAGATGGGGAAAGAGACAAGTAAATGTTGGTGGGGAAATTTCCAACCCAGTCAGCCAGAAACTTGTGTGTTTCTATTCAATCTGTTGAGCTCTGCGTTTAGCCATGAACATTATTTACTTTGTCCATTAATGAAGACAATGCTATAACTGGCTCTAAATCCTGTAAGATACTTGTCAAAGGAAAGACTAATTCTTAGTAATTTTCACACTGAAGAAAATTGCTAATGTTATGGATTGTGTAGGTGATTATTCATATAATAAATGAAAGAATTGAGTAATGGCCAGTATTTAGCAATGTAACAGAGCTTTAAAGTAATCCAAACAGCAAGACTGGCTGTTGTTTCATCTGCAGGAAACAGAAATTCAGAAATGTGGGAAAGTACTGTTGTTTTGTACATATTAGGAGATAATAAGCAACATATTCATGATTCACAGAAAAAACCTCCAGGCCTGTGGCCCATGTCAGGGGACTGTGACTTAAGACAGTTAGGATTAGACCCTTATCCTCTATCTAACAGCTGCCTTAGATTTCTGCAAAAGATAAATCTTCTTAAGGGAGAGTTACGTTTTAGGCCATAAACGCTTTCTGATGATGCATGCTGTAGCCTAGTACTTACTTCTGTAAAATTACCCACAAACATATTCCATGCTTTGAGCTATTTGGCAGCTCCTCTTAATTTTTTTCTCACATTCTCAGGGTTGGGTCTTAATATGTATTAGCTTTAACTATGTTGTTAGTATTACTTTTCCTTAAGGATCAGAGAATTAAACAGAAATAAAACTCAATGAAATCACTACAGTCAAGCCTTAAAAGATGTCATATTGTTTAAGATCATCAGAACTGTGTCTGGTGAGTCAGCATACTCAAGTATGAGGATGGAAACCTGAACACAATCTTAAAAGCAGCTTTCCCCTCCCCCAAGTTTTTTGTTTTGTTTTATTTTTTATCTCCCCTTTTCTAGCCATGATTTCAACATTATGAGTGGTTGACAATCACAAAGTGCTTTCTTTACAATGGAAATGTAACAATACCACATGACCCAAACAGCTGTACATTGCAAGATTTCTCAGCAATCTGGTGTGTGAACTCGAGGGGTTGTTAATGCCTGAAACAATATAAAAATGTACAAACACATGCTGAGTGCGGAGTGCTTGTTGGACGAGGTAATTGGAAAAGTCAGTCCAAGGATGCTTTTGGCCTGATGCTGCTTATGCCTTCACCATAGATTGGAATTCTGTCAAGGAAGAAAATGAGAAAGGCAGGGAGTAAAACTAGATGAAAGTCATTTTTGACATCTTTAGAAAAGACGGACAAAAATTACTTAAACTCCTAGCCATGGAGGGCTCCCAAAGTTATTATAACACTGCACAAGCTACTGCTAAACTGAGATTCTGGGGGCGTAACAGATTTTTCACTCCTTAAAAAGAGTAAGTGCAGAGAGGAGGAGTGTGTCTGTAAATCCATATTTGTGGGAAATCCTGAGTTAAAGGTAAACTATCTTTAACCAGTTAAAAACTCTGATAATAGCCAAGGAAGCAAAGAGTGACTTAGGTTTATCCCATAGCTTTCAGTAGGAGGGATTTTTTGCCTTTGTTATTCTAAAGAAAAAATATCAGTAGTGCTGTAATTTCAGGATGGGAGATGCAATGGTTAAGGGCTAAGATCTGCATAATATAATGCCCTATTTAGGGCTCATAAACAGAAGCTGTAAAAGCTGCTGCTAAAGCAAATTCCTCTAACAGTGTATCTCTCTCTCCTCCCAAACTCTGGCTAAGATTAGCACGTGTGTCTGTTAGAGTTATTGCCACCTGTCCTACTTCAGCTGAGACAGCCCTGTTTTCAGTGACTTCATCTCTAATATATGATGCATAATGTCCTATTTTCCTTTGCAGCAATTTCTAAAAGAAATAGCCTGGCCAGTTCACATCATCCCTGTGAGGTTTTCTTTAGGAATTTGATTTATTTTTTCATAGAAGGACTGCCTGGTGAAATGTGCACTGATAGGATCTTTCTCTAGCACAAAATTCTGTGCTGCATTGCAGCAGTACTAGCCTTGAAAAACAATACCACTCTTCTCTTACATTCCTGAATTAAACTACTCGGTAGCATTGGCCAATGTTTGATAGTGGTAGATGAAGAAAGAAGTTTATGTAGGTGGAAGTATGTTTAAAAATGGAAGTGTTATATGGCCAGAAGTGCAGAGCCAAAATGGAAATTCAAAGAATGGATAGGTGTTCAGGATGCTTTAAAAATCTGGCACATTGAGTCTATGGATCAAACACATAGCAGAATAGAACCCATAGCTGATATTATGGATTGGAGGGATAGGCTCTACATTGGGCCTAAATATGCTGTTGCTGCAAGAGAATAACCAAATAGGGATAAAGGGAAACCAAACAGGGATAAAGCTATGAAACTAAAGGAGTATTCACTAGTATAAAAATTGTGGCAGAAAGTACCAGGCCAAAGTACTTGGATGTGTTCTTCATGCCGTCATTTGAATGAAGCCCTAAATGGATGCATTTTAAACCACAAATTTTATGAATTTCTAAAACTCTTACCTTCTACTCCAATTTTGCCATCGCCATCAGAGTCACCTGCAGCCATAAAGTCCTTGATCTCTGCAGGGGTGAGGGCTCTGGCACTCGAAGAGAAATTCTTCAGAAACAGTCTGAAACAGAACAGGGTAGAGTGTTGTGCTTGAGAATTATTCTCCAAAATGTCCTTGGTACATAGGTATTTCTGATTTTCTTAAACCCATGCAAAAAAAAAAAGTAAGGTAATGCCTGCTCTTATTATCTGAGGAAATACAAGGAATCGTGACAAGGAAGGACAAGAAATTGTGTTTTCTATAACAGTAAGTTTCTTCTAGGACAGCTGGCAAGTTCAAAGGTTTGCACTAGTTGAAGAAATATGCAGCTGTACAGTACTTACTGAAGCTCTTCTTCTTCGATGAAACCATTGCTGTCCTGATCAAGGATTCTAAAAATTTTCTTTATCTGATCAGGAGTTTTGCTGGATAAACCAATCATGGAGAAGAAAGACTTGCAGTTGAAGCTACCATCAGCTGGAAGAAACAGAAGTTTAAGTATTTTCCCTTGAAGTTGCTACTACAGTATATATTCCTTGGGAATATGTATATCTTTTCTAAAGCGTCATCCTACTCCTCTTGCTCTTGTGCACAGTGTAGCAAAAAAAAAAGATACAGTGGGTAATTTTCCTTTCTAATCACTCTGTGCCCATGGTCATATATCCTTTTAGCCAGTTTGAAGTTTTCTGCTACAATGCACATTCTGTTAAATCAGGGTTTATGCAGTGTGTGACATGCAGTTAATAATAAATATTTAGAGGGCGCTACTGTGGCTTACAGACCAGCCTCTCATTCTCACTTAGTCCTTACTGTAGTAAAGAATTTGGGTAGAAAGTAGGTAATTCCCAGTCAAACTAGCTCTTTGAGCATTTGGACTTGATCTCACCAAGGAACTCTTAAAGAGAACTGAGACTGGTCATTGCTTCACAAATGACACTGATTCTTCAAGCTGAGGCTTTTTTTGACATTCTGAAGGAAAAGGCTAGCTATGTAAATATAAATCTTTAAAGGTTTAAAAACTGTCAGAGTTCAAAGGTAAGCCAGCTCTAACTGAAACCGTGACCCTTTAATTGCTGCTCTGTGTTTTGGGGAATGTTGTTACCCACCAAATAATCACTCGTGAGACTTCCTGAATTCAAGGGGCTGTACTGTAATGTAGGTAGAAAGAGATCTCACAGGGAAAGAATCTAAGGGGAAAATGATAGGCATGTCATCTTAAGACATAAAAATGATACACATCTTCTGGCTGCAGAGACCATTCCTTACCCTGGCAGCTGGAGAGAGCAGATTCAATATCTTTAGCAGAAAGGATGTCAGTGATGGCCATTGTTGAACTGTAAAATAAATTAAATGTGAGCTACTTGGTCATTAAAGTGACTTCTTTACCTCTTTCATGGCTCTATTTGAAGTTGCTGCTGTGACAGTATATGATAGGGGAGACATTATTCATCTAATTGTAAGCAGAGTGTACTGGAACAGATGTCTGCAGCAGGTGCTTCCACTTAAAGCTAGGTAATGAGGGAGGAATTCTGCATGTGGGAGTGTGGGCCTTCAGGAAGATCTGATGCCTGTGCAGCACTGGGGGGGAGTAAGTCAAAGGTGTCTAGCACCACAAAACTGCGTGACTTCTGTGTGGGTTTTTGTGGAGGTGGTTTATTACTCAGTTAAAACCAGCGCACATGAAAAGATACAGCTCAGTATGTCCCCTAGAGCTATATCTGGAATAAATGTGATTGGAATCTAAAAAATCTAATATTATTATCAGTAAATATATTGATCTTTTCAAAGAATGACAATAATTTAGAATAAGTAGTAATAATTCTGCTAATTTCAAGGAAGTCTAAATTTGGAGAGTAAGTTCCTCCTCTGTTTAGTTGCAACGATAAATATAACTATACTATAAATTCAGCTTGCTGGGCTGCTGTGTCATTAAAAGACGACATTTCAAGATAGCTTTATAAAAAATTTTTCTTAAGTATGTTGTGGTGGGTTTTTTTAATTGCATGTAGGTGGTAATAAACCAGATTTTTATCCAGATTTTGGCATTTCAGTATATTGACGTACTTTGAACAGAGGTATCAAGACTTCATATTTGTTCCTAGCAGAGTGGAGGAGGTGTTCACTGGTATAGTAACATTTGATAAAACATACTCTTTCTCCCATTCAGCCACCAATACAGTGACAATAGTTTGCCACTGTAATATTTGTCGCTTAAGAAAATGCTACAGGCCTGACTTTTTAATCAATTTATTAGAGTAAATATAGCATCGATACATTTACAGTCTGGTAAACTGCACACACCACTGCAGGCTGCTTACAATTAACAATTGGTGACATTACTGTAAAGTAGCTTCATGTTAATGAGGGAAGGGGAACTGAGGCATAGAAAAGTTATTCTTGAAAGCCACAAGAGAAGAAAAATATCATGAATCTCTGATCTTCAACAGCATCATTCTTCCTGTCTGAGCATGAAAACAGCATTCACGAAAAGGAAACCGATGCTTGTAACCATTTATAGTCTGTGAGATGGTTTGAGATCTACACACAGGTTTAAACTTTACCTAAAATATGAAATGGCTGCCTTTGTACCTGTTGGTTTGCAGCAAAGGAAATTGCCAATCCTTTAGGTCCCTTAATAGCTCTGAAGGTGTAAGGAGACAATGGAGAAATCCATGCTGATGGCAATGTGTACCAGCTAAGGGTACCAGCTAAGGCAGATGAGTTACTTTTGGTTTGCTAGCATCTATTTTGTGCCAGTGGCTTCTTGTGCAAAGTACTTCCCCCTCTCAGCACTAGACAAAATAATTTGGAGCTCTGCCATTCACCTAATTCTCACTGCTGAGAGGATTAAAAAGAAGGAAGAGTTTAAGGAAAACCTAAAAATGCAGCATTTTTCACAAGGGGCATCATTCCCATCTTTTTCCATCCCGTAATCTGAATGCTGATTCTGTTCTATGTTAGCTTGTAAAGAGACAACATATTGGAAGCTGATACAAGAACAGGTATTTCAATTGCATAGGTGCTTTCCATTCAGGGAGCATTTTGCTTTTGTGTTTCTTTTCCTGAAAGCAGAGGATATAATCATCTTACCTTTGTGGTCTTCTCAGCTGAGTAAGGGAGCAATCTAGGTGGGAGGAACAAACTTGCTGTGTGTCTCCAGCAGAGCTGAGCTTGCATATATATACTTTAAGTTGTATACCATATACAGATTTTGGATTTCAGCGTCACGAAGGGGGAATGGTGTCAAATGAACTTGCCTAACTAATCATCTTGCACTATTTTTAACTCAAGAGAATACATATGATATTTGCAAATGAAACAAGATAAGTGGCCAGATAGGCAAAAAGGACAGAGTCATATTAAATTTCTTCTGATTTAAGCAGAAAATACCAACTTCTCCATATGATGTAGGGCAGGAAACAAAGTCCCACTATCTGATATGCGTGATCCCAGGAGTCAGATGAAATGAAACACTAGTAACTTCTGAAGAGATGCCTTTAATGAATGTTTAAATGTGATAAATTATCTGTAGACGCTACATGTGATAGAGTTTCTTCATTAGAACACTAAACAAAACAAGTATTAAAAATACCCCAGTCAAACATGTTTATGTAGTAAACCATTTAGGGAAGATAGTAGTTGTTTTGTCATCCAGAATGTCTGATCTGTTGTTTGGAAAATACCCCAAACCCAAACTACACAGTGAATTTGTTGCTACAGGAGGTAAAATAATATTATGTCTGTCCACTGGAACAGTTGGTTGGGGAGAGTATTTTGTCTGGTATGTTTCCAGAGAAAATCTTACAGTTTTGCAAGGTTCTGACATCCTGCTTAGTCGCGTATGTGTGAAGCAAAGGGGTTGTGATCTGCCCAGCTGTCCCTGAGACAGAAGTCCCTAAACTCTTCATGAAAGATCTTTGCTATTAGATTTGAGAGAAAAATTTCAATAGCAGCATCACAGTAGGGAACAATATGTGAGAGTGTCACTGCAGTTTTGTTGCTTACCTTCTGGTTTCTTTTAGATAAATGATTATATTTTCTAATTTTTTGGCCAGTGCTGTTTCCAAGTATTCCTTTGTGCTAGTTACTTCTTTTTTAAGTAGCATAGAAACAATTTGATCATCTCAGCTTTCTTTCAAGAGTGTCATAGCTTCACTAGGTAAGGAGCCTGTTAGCTTGGATCTCACTTGTGGCTTGAGGCAGCAGAACAGTGAAAGACAAGTCATGTTGATGACAGCTTATGCTAGTGTTATGGTCAGGGGTAGGATATGGCAAGACATGACAGTGCAATTGGCATCACAGCTTGAGGTGGTGGCACAGTAAGAGATGACAGTGCAGAGACTATCTTAATGTGAGAGTATCAGGGCATTTTTTTTCCCAAAGCATCTCCCCATAAATGGAAGGCAAACCTAGCCAAGTACTGAAGCCGACTACTAATATGTCATAGCGTGGAGCAGAAAGAAGTGGCACCTACGAGACCTTAGTGCATCCAACACTGACAGCAGCTGATGAAAAAGCAACAAAAGACTATTTCAAAAGATAGTATGTGTAGAGGAGGTGCTATTTCACTTGCTATAAACATAAGAAAAATTATTGCTACAAGGTCTTTTTTCCTTTTACAAATTGTGCATGTCTGCTCTCCATGAAAAAGTTTCAGACACAGATTAATTCTTGTGAGGGGAAGAACCACTGATTAGGAATGGCTGTGGAAGATTGCAGCTTTCCCAGTTTTCTGAATGGGTTGTTGACCAGCTGACGCTGAAAAATTTCAAGAAGAATTTGATGGATAGATATTTAATACTGGCTCTTGTTGCCACTGGTGACATCTGGTAGAAGGGATACAAATATCACTTTCCCCTCTCAAACTCTTCTAAGAAATGGCTTTTATTCTACATGGGAAGAAAATTCCTCTCCCTTGTGCACACACCATCCTTTTCTCCCCCTCCAATTTGGAAAATTGCCTACATAGTGCCAACAACTGATGTGAAGTAAGTAGGGCGTCCAACATAAAAACTGATGGCATGGTATGATCTCATGAAGCTAAGTTAAGAGGAGCGCCAGATTCTGCTGAAACTCTTGGACTGCAGGAGTCTGCATGGGAATTTGGTCTCTGGTGTCTATTTCAGAGAATGCATTTGATTTTAGATGCAATGGCTTCTCATTTTGCCCAGAGCTAATTCCACATATGTTAACCCCTCGCCCCCACTCTTCCCTTTAAAAATAGCATTGATTGCTGTTATTTCCCTTAATGCTTGTGGACTGTTGCCATTAGTTTGAACTTTTGTATCTGAATCACGTAAGGATGCAGTCTTTAAAAGTGTGTTTTGTTTTCTAATGGACTTCAACAGGAGAATTCCTTTTGTTCCCTGAAATTGTAAGAATAAGGCATGAATGTCAAATGATTTATGGCCTTAGTCTGTTGAGCTGCACTCAGACTCCAGCAAATTTTGGAGTTTCTTTTGCAGTGGGATTGGAAGCACTAGAGATCCAGAACATGTGCACTGGCTGGCAGGATGAAATGCACAAGGATCATGTAACAACCAGCCTCCAACAACCATTTCTTTTCAAGCCCTACATTAGAGATTGAGAAAACATCTGTCTGGTCATTTTTACTTTCTTAAATCAAATATGGTTAGTAACTTTCCAGCTGCCATCCAACTTGGCAGGGAGAGGAACTAGGGAAGTCTTAAGAAGTAAGGAGAAGATATCCCTTTCTGATTATCAGGTTACCACTAAAAGCAGTTTTAAACCCTGGGGCATTTCACTTTGCTTGAGTCTCATTGCCTTCTAGAGGTCTCTCTAGTGGAATGCTCCTTCATTTGTTTTATTCTGTCAGTTATAATCTTAGCTCTTCTAACACCTGAGATTACCTCCCCAACTTGAAAAGCTGTATTTGAGGTCTGTGATTGTTCCATAATATATTCTTGTAACAGGATCATAGAATAATAGAATTGTAGACCCAAAGAACCATAGACTGGCTTGGTTTGGAAATGACCTTAAAGACCATCTAGTTCTAACCCCCTGCCATGGGCAGTGACACCTTCCACTTGGAGCACTTAGTTGCTCCAAGCCCTGTCCAAACTGGCCTTGAACACTGCCAGGGAAGGGGCAGCTACAGCTTCTCTGGGCAGCCTGTGCCAGAGTCTCACCACCCTCACAGTTAAGAACTTTTTCCTAATATCTAAACTAAATCTACCCTTTTTCAGTTTAAAGCCATCACCCCAGTCCTATCACTACTTACCCTTGTGAACAGTCCCTCTCCAACTTTCTTCTCAGCCCCATTAGGCACTGGAAGCTGCTCTAAGGTCTCCCCAGAGCCTTCTCTTCTGCAGGCTTTACAATCCCAACACTCTCAGCCTGTCTTCCTAGGAGAGGTGCTCCAGCCCTGTGAGCATCTTTGTGGCGTCCTCTGGACTCACTTGAGCAGCCCCACATCCTTCTTCTCTTGTTGTCCCCAGAGCTGGATGCAGTACTGCAGGTGGGGTCTCATGAGATCAGAGCAGAGTGGGAGAAACCCCTCCCTCATCCTGATGGCCATGCTCCTTTTGATGTAGCTCAGGGCACAGTTGGTTTCTGAGCTGCAAGAGCACATTGAAGCTGGCTCATGCTGAGCTTCTCATCAACCAATACCAGCACGTCCTCCTCCTCAAGGCTGCTCTCAAGCCACTCTCAACCCAGCCTGTAATTCTGCTTGAGATTGCCCCAGTCCAGGTGCAGGACCTTGCACTTGACCTTATTGAACTTCATGAGGTTTGCATTGGCTCAGCTCTCCAGCCTGTCACTGTCCCTCTGGATGACATCCTTTCTCTCCAGTGTGTCAATCGCACCACACAGCTGGGTGTCTCTGGCAAACTTGTCATTCTTCTTTGACTGCTGATGTGAATTGTGTGTACAACAGAATAACAAAAAATACACTAAGGAGTAGTGAATGCATGCCTTAATTTACGTAAGTGTGATTTGATGGCCTTGTATATGCCTGGGCTTGTTTTCCCTGAATGCGTGTGATAGGGATATCCATAGTTACCAGTCAAGGAATGTACATCCTATGTGATGTGTCTAACCTATCGTTAAATGACATGTGAATAGTGAAAGTGGAATAGTCATTCAGCTTGTAATTTGCTTTGGGAGTATTTGAGATGAAAGATATTATAGGCATGTAATTTAGTGTAATTGTATTAATGCAACATGCTCCAGTCACTTGAGGAATGTAACCCTTGGAGTGATCTGGAGATATTTGTGAGTGGTTTTAGGTTTGTATTACTTAATCTAATATCTGTAAACACCTCATAACCACCACCCAGTAAAATGCTGTAAAAGGAAAATGCTAAAACAGTTGCAATGTGGTGAGGAAGCTGTACATAGGAAATAGCACCAAATAACATCTCTTTCGTTTTTGTAAACATGAATGAATTGCAAAAATTAAGTAATATTTTTCACCAGCTGTTGGTCTAGTGTCAAGTGCCTTCAACCTCTGGGGTAGATTCTGAGAATTTACAATGTCACTTTTCAACTTCAAGTGCTAATTTACAAAATTTCAGCTGTCATATTTTTCTGACATGTGTAAAGCATTAATTTTTGAGCCAATTGGTCTGTTTATGTAAAACAGACACTTCAGTTCTGTATATCTGAAATTCACAAGAGAGAGATTCAATTCTGATTCCAAAATCTGAAAAGAATATCATCCAGGTGTAAAAACTGTGTGATTTATCAAGGTGTAGCTTGAGAGTTTTGTTTCTGAATTAAAACTTCTCGGTTCACTTCCAGTTCTGTTTCTTTCTGGAAATGTTCATGCATTGATGCACAAAGAAAAAGGCTTTTTTTTTTTGTGCAGAAAGGAATTCACATGGAATGGTTTCTGAATTTATAGAGTGCTAGGTCTGTTAAATCTGATATAGGCATTCATAAATGGACAAAGTACTTGAACCTCCAAATGACTTTATCCATAGATAAAAAAATTACATGCAGAATGTGTATGAAAGAAATCATAAAATCATAGAATCACGGAATAGTTAGGGTTGGAAAGGACCTTAAGATCATCCAGTTCCAACCCACCTGCCATGGGCAGGGACACCTCACACTAAACCATCTCACCCAAGGCTTCGTCCAGCCTGGTCTTGAATACCGCCAAGGATGGAGCATTTGCAGCCTCCCTGGGCAACCCATTCCAGTGCCTCACCACCCTAACAGTAAAGAACTTCCTCCTTATATCCAATCTAAACTTCCCCTGTTTAAGTTTTAACCCATTACCCCTTGTCCTGTCACTACAGTCCCTA